AAAAAAAACCAAACGATTGGACAGCGTGAGCAAAAGTTAAAAGTGCAGGTACACGGGGATGATCAGTCCCCGCATCCTGGTCGACTGCATGGAGCTTCGTTGGCGACAGCCATGCAGCGACCCTGTCGCCCCCTGCCTGTGGAACTGGGGTGGAGAATTGGCGGAAAGAAACCCTTTGCCCAGGGGTGGACACACACAGGTCGCCGTTGTCGGCGCTTTTTCAAAAACCGGTTGCAGGCGTGGTGGTTGTGTCCGTTTTGGACATAAAGCCACACTAGCTCGACGGCAGCAGCTTCAGCGCTGGAGGGTGGAAATGTGTATTTTCGAATGGTGTGAAGTCTGGATTGGAGGCCTGACAGAGCCAAGCGCTGGCGTGTTCATGCATGACGAATTAAATCTGGAAGCTCAGGTCTGCTAGCTTGAGTTCTGCATGCAGAAAAGTCATGCCAAGAATGCAAAACTGTAGAACGCGACGGAGGCTGTTGGAAAATCAGTTCCCGTGGTGAGGCTCGGCAGCCTTTGTGGCAGTTAATTCAGTGGTTGTGTCAGTGACTTCCGGTGAAAATCGAGTGAAAAGTGGTGAGGTCAGTTAGTGCTTGCACTATGAGACAGCGCCCCAATGACGGGGATCACACTCAGCACCCGAGTGGGACGGCTGAGTGAAACACACTTTGACAATTGTATTCAGTTAACTCAATTCCCCGAGGAAAGGAATGGCTCAACGGTAAGGGTCCGATCAATTGAAGATGTTTTAACAAGTGGTTTGTGCACAACTGCGGCTGCGGCGACAAGCTGCAAAAAAGCGCGGCTGCTGAAAGTGGCTGAGAAACCTGTTTGGGGGGAGGAAGACATGAAACACCATGAAAACAAACCAAACGATTGGACAGCGTGAGCAAAAGTTAAAAGTGCAGGTACACGGGGATGATCAGTCCCCGCATCCTGGTCGACTGCATGGAGCTTCGTTGGCGACAGCCATGCAGCGACCCTGTCGCCCCCTGCCTGTGGAACTGGGGTGGAGAATTGGCGGAAAAAAACCCTTTGCCCAGGGGTGGACACACACACACGCACATATCATCTGCCATGCTGCCCCATGCTTGGACTGCCAGTATCTTCACGGATGTGCAGATTTACCAACGACCACGTGCTGGGAAGTTGTGATGTCTTCTGGCAACAAGATGGACCAGAAGACACTCTCCGGACTCGGCACCGGCGAACGATGTGAACGACGGCCCAGTCGTGGGCCGGGCTTGGACTTTTCGTCGGAGCAAGGCAAAAGACCGGAGAAGCAAGAGAAACCACTCAATATTGGTGCCAAAGCCAATGCATGCATCAAACGTTGAACAGGGGGTTGCGGCCTTGCATAGGGTAAGTCTCTTCCGGAGCTTGGTGCAAGCATGTGCAAAAGCCATCTAAATCATTGTAATTAAGGCAATTTTAAATCATTTTAGAATAGTGTATGTCCAAACCTGAACGTCTTTATATACTGTACTGTATATAGTGAAAAAATACACTGGTCCGTGAATATCGCTATTCATCTTTGGCTTAAGGCAGCGTGAACATTGCCGACGCTGTTGCCGGCAACCAATAGCCGCTCTTTGGCCAAGCGTCGAAGCCGGACATACAAGAAGGCAGCCCTACATCCAAGGCAACAATCCTCTTCACCAAATCTGCGCGCACGAGACTTTGAGCGTCGCTGGGGGGTGGGTGCTTCTGGTTCAGTGAATTGGCTTCGATATGGTTCGATGGTCCCTGGGTTTAGAGGCCAACCATCGGGGAGCAAAGAAACTGAGTACGTCTTCTTCGCTGGCCAGGGTGGAAACCACAAGGAACTGGAGGGGTCTGGAAGGTGCGTCATGCTTGTTGGCAGGTCACACCTTTGCAACATTGAACAAGCTAGACGAATTACCTACTTCGGCAATTGCTCGTGGGCTCCATTACACTAGATGTGAACATGTGGCCAGGAACAGAGACATTGACAAGGCCAAAAACAAGAGAAAACCACCTTACATCATTTACTTTGGGAGTTGCACAGGAATTATGCACCAGTTTGACCGACTTCCACCGCAGCCAAACAATGAGAGGCTAACGATTGACTCTTCCCCAAGATTACGTAATTTAGGGAAATTACTTGGCTTCTCTCTGACACACACACACGTATGCAAATACATCAAATACATAATTTCTATATAATTCTAGATGTTTGGACTGGCCTCACCATGATGAACAACAAGAATAGTAGGATACTCACTTGGAACTGGCCGCGGCCTTGCTTTTTTACCATTCCTCGATTCCCGGTCATGTCCATCAAACCTGGATGACGAGTCTGCAACATGAAGCCCCAAACACCTCACTGGGCAGGTCTGGCCACTGGATCTCAATGGAATGCTGAGTTCCGAATTTGACCCCTGGCTGGTGGACAAAGACTCAAAGCAAGTTGAATTATTTGGAGTCTCGACCAATTAGGAGACACTCCCAAGCTTCCTGATTCAAGAGAAACTCGTTGCTGATTACATAGCGTACATTGCAGTAAAACCATGTGCTCACCACTGAGCATCAGGGCAGCATCTTCACTCATGCTCTCCAATGGCAAATTCAACTCGTCGAACATGCATCTTGTGTGTAGTGGTTCCTGTGTGTACGCGGGCTGGTGCTTCCATCATATTCAGCAGAACAAGCTGAACACCGATATTGAATGTTGGCAATTGATGATGTCGCCAATTTTTGGAATAGGGGTCAGACCGGGTCAAGTCTTAGATTCTAGACCCTTTGAACAACCCCAGGGCGAGTGATCCTTCACTCGGTTCTTCAAGTCCTCAATCCCTCTACAAGGACCTCTCATGCCTACCTTTACAAAGGAACGGATTTTCAGCAAGTGATGCCATAGTCCAATCAAAAGAACCGGCATCCTCCAAAGGAACGCGGATCCCTGGGCCGCGGATCGTTTCGTTCAGAACGCGGAACGCTGCAGATCGTCCAATCCAAGGGGCATCCCCAGTCATGAAGGACCAAGGTCACTGGAGACGTTCCACAGTCTCGGCCTGAGACAATCGCTCCGAGACTGTTTCGTCTTCCAAGCGGAGGAGAACCTCCGTGGGAGAACTCCCGTAGGTGGGTGAGCTCCACATGTTGCCCTATTCTTGCTTTATCCTAAGGTGAAACAAACAACAGGTACTGCAACTAATTATGGCAAGGTTGAGGTCTGCTGGGCCACCGGATTAGCCCTTCATGGATCTTCATTGTCACCGGAGTCCAATCTAGGTACGAGTAGTTTTCTGTCGGCATCTTGCCATCTCCTTGGATTTTACGCCTACTTGAGAGAGGAGGGGGTGAACGAAAGGTAGCAGGGAATCAGGCGTACCCTTCAACAGAAGCCCTTGCTAGAGGATCAAAGTTACGAAAGTTAAGGCAAAGCACCAAGTACTGAAGCCTAAGACACTTTTCGAAGCACCAAGTACTTTTCGACCATTTTTGAAGCCTAGACACTTGAAAAGCCATCGGCTTTTACGAGGTTTTTTGGCCGGACAGCCACAGAAAACCCTGTCCATTGCGTGGTTTGAGGCCACTCTTGCAACCTGGAGGAGCTGAAAACACTGGTATTGACGGTGCTTTGTAGCCGTTGACAAAGAGCCGTGCCAGGGTGGAGTTGAAAGGGGAGGGGGGGGGCCGTATGTTCAACACTTAGGGGCCATGCAGCAGGCGCACTTATATAGTTACTGTAAGCGAAGATAACAACGTAGCCGCTAAATGGACGCAGTGACGCCGCTAAATGAACGCAGTGACGCCGCTAAATGGACGCAATGACACCCTCGATGGACGCAATGACGAATGCTAAGAGAACACACCAACGCGGAGCCCGCTGGGCCCGTCGAGCCCCCTGAACCCGTTGAGCCTGAGCCCGCTGAGCCCGTCGAGTCCACTGAGCCCGCTGAGCCCGCTGAGCCTGCTGAGCCCGTCGACCCCGTCGAGCCCACTGAGCCCGCTGAGCCCGTCGACCCCGTCGAGCCCGCTGAGCCCGTCGAGCCCGCTGACTCAGCCCGCTGAGCTTACGTTTCACAAACATGAGATTCACGTGTGCACAGCATTACAATAAAATACAGCCCGCTATATCGACGCCAAGCGTTCAAGGCACGGGCCCCCCCCGGCCTCTAAAATGAAATGTCGGAGGGCGATTCTCAGTGAGATGGGTGTCCACTCTGGTTATAGTTCATGTTTGCTGAAGCAAAAGGAAAACTCAGGTAGCGTAACCGCTACCTTTCGTGATCTCAATCTCAGGATCTGAAAACAAAGTGTCGACGTTACGGAACGCCTTTTTACCTTGAGCCAAAACACGTCATGAGTCACGTGTCTGCAGTACCCTAGCGGAGTATATATGGGCTGTACATACAAACACTCCTCCTCTTGCAAAGCACTGTACTGCTGCGCAAGCTTAAAGTAAACATGTGAAACTCTTCGCTGCTTAGCCACTTTCAGTTATGGTAGTGGAGCTTGGCCAGGGACCTTACTCCAAAACATCTAACTGTCCTTTGCTTCGCTTGCTGAGGAATGCATATTGCAGGTCCTCCATGGTTTTGCGAAGCTGCACCCCAAGAACCGACTTGGTCAAAACATCGGCTTTGTTCTTGAGACCTGGAACGTGGTGCGCTTTCAAGTGGCCTTCGGCGACCCTTTCTTGCAACCATAGGTAGCGAGTCTGGATGTGTCTGGCTTTACCCAAACCACTCTATTCACAGTTCCTTTGGCTGCATTGGAATCGCCCTCGATGGTGACTCCCAAATCCAAACCAAGGTCTGCGCATAGGCTTTGGAGGCCTAAGCCCACAGATCCTCCCTTCACAAGTGCGTAGTATTCACTCTCACCTGTAGAAAGGGCTACAGTGGATTGGATGTTACTACTGTGTTTCAACACGTGCATGCCGTACATAGCAACCATGCCAGTCGTGCTTTTGCGCGTCACAGCGTCACCACCATGGTCGGCATCGACCTGCACCCTCAGCCTTGAGGGTGTCTGCTGCGAGCCAAAACATTGCCCAACATCAGGATATTTCTTCAAGTACCTGATGAGACGCTTCAAGTCAGCAAGTTTGGCTTCTGTTGGTGATACCATACCTCGAGCAAGGTTCTTGACTGCGTGTCCAATATCAAGTCGATCTTGGGACAAGTACGCAGCACGCATCGTTGCTGAACGATACTTTGATGCCTCGCTCTTATCAAGCGGCGGACTGCGGCTTTCCAGCATCTGCTGATCTGCCGACTTCTTGACATCTGGTGATTCTACACCATTTGCCTTCTCCAGACCAAATGCCTGGATCAAAAGATCAACATGTCTCCGATCGGCTTCGATCACAATTGATCCTTTGCCGTTCTTCTTATCAACTCGGATTAACCGATTCAGAAAATGAGCTTCTGTTCGGTCTCCATCCTCGTCTCCAAGAATTCCAAGACATTTCAGCTCATAGGCATCTTTGAGGACTTGGCTGAGCTTCTCCAAGTGTTGGGCGTCTCCAAGCGCTAGGAAGTCGTCTCCATGCACCATCACTCTGACGTCCCAAGCTTCTTGGTAGAAGACTGACGCATTTGACAAGCCTCTGCGGAAACCAGCCTTCTACAGAGTCTCTGTGTAGTGCGTCTGCCAGATATTTGGAGCGTCCTGTGTTCCATACATCGACTTCACGAGAAGTCCACAGGTCTGCCCATCTTTGCTGGCTTCGTCCTCAGGCGGCAGCTCTATGTAGATCTTTCTCTTTGGAGTTCCATAGAAGTGTGCTCGTGAGATGTCCCACAAGCCCAGCTTCAGCGGCTGGTTGTGGCAGGACTTTCTCTTTGTTGCCCACAACGAGCACAGCAGTCTCATCGCCTCCAATGGGGGCGTGCTGCTGAAAAGCAAGTTGGCTGGCAATTGTTCTTCTTTGGTCTTTCTTGCCTTTATCTCACGCACAACTAAACGGCTCCTATAGTTCGGGTTTGTCGGATCTCCCTTGTTGGTGTCCAACCATCTGACTGGAATCGGGGGCTTCCCCGTTTCCTCAAAACATTCGGCTCTCGGCCGGGTCACATAAACACCATGCTTTTCTTTCAAATAATCCATCTCAAGGCGTCTTGCCTCTCTCACTTTCTCGGCTGGCAAAATGCCACCGTTCACATCATCCATGTATATCTCTTCGAACTCTGGGTCCATCAGAGGCATCTCTGGAACTGGGCCTGCTGCAAACAGATCAAAGGTATTCAACTCACCTTTCTCTGCCAGCGTGTCACGCAGGCTCCTTAGTACTGCCTTCACAAGCTGCGGTGGGTATACCGCTGCCTGCCTAGCAATGCCTCCGATCAGATGGATGTGTCTGTCCCATGGTCCTTTGCCCGATTCATTCGAGCAGACTCCTTGCAAGACTCTGGCCAACCCTTCATCGTTGGTCATCCAACCGGTCTCCTTTCTCACATAGCCGGTGCCTTGGAGTCCTCTTCGGTCAGTGGCCATCATTTGCCACCTGCACATTGGACCCTTTACTACGAACACTCCATCCTCTTTTGCTAAGGCCGCAACTTTCTCATCCTTCCAACTATAGTTGCGGACCAAGGTGCCTCGTGGAGGAACTTTCTCCCTGAGCGATGCTGCTTGGCATACAGTTCTACGCTCGTATGAAGATGGTGGACGGCTTCGTCCATTTTCCTCCTCCGGACATCCGGTGCCATGCTTCTCCAGTTGAGGTTCTGGAGCTGTGAGAACATATGGCACGGTGGCGAACCAGTCAAAAGCGCCGGTTCGTCCTTTTCAAGGATGTCGTGCACTTCTTGAACATCTTCAGACTTGTTCAAGTCCCAGTATGTTCCATCGCTTTTCATTTCATTCAAGTCGACCGCAAAACCCGGTCGCAACTTGTAGCGCTCTGCAAGCGCAGTGAACCTCTTGGGCGAGTAGATCTCCATGATATCTACTGCTGACATCTGCATGCTCAAATGAGCGATGTCTCCGATCTCTTGCTCAGAGATCTCGATGCCATTCGCCTCATAGGTTCCTTGAATGATCTTCTTCAGATGCTGCTTTGCGATCTCCTTCTCTTTTACCAAGCTGGCTGCATCTGGCTTCCGCCCTGCTGGTGGTGTTTCTGGAACATACGAAAGCGTCTCAGTTTTCTTTGGACTCTCTTCCACCCTGGGATCAAGGTCTTCTACGGCGGTCTCTGCCATCCTCTTTGTTCCTTGAGCTGGATTCGGCTTGACCTTTGCCCCAGGTGGATCTATCCTAAGCTCTCCTGTCCTCTTCTTGGGCTCTGTTGCTACCTTGGCTTTTGCCACTGGTTTCTTCTCTATCTCGGCTGCTTGCCTCTTCATCTCATATCTCTCTTTCGGGTCATCGGGATAGGTCTTCTCACCCTCTACCGCTGCTGGCGGCGGGCTTCCCGACCCTGCGCTCTTTGCTTCTTCTTTCTTCTCTGGTTCTCCGGCCGCGTCTTCGGCCGTGATGTCAGTGTCCTTATCGGCCACGACTTTCGGCTTCACAGTGTCAAGCTGTTGCCGTTCTTTCCTCTTCTTTGCATGGGCTTCAAGTCTCGCTTGCCCAGCTTCATCCTTTTCCATTGCTTCGGTGATCCTTGCTCTGCACGCCTCTGTGTGCGGCAAGGTCGTCCTCTTGTCTTCCAAGATGCACTTGCATCCTGGGCAGCCTTCTGTGGCTCCATGCTTGTGCACATCCTCTCTCCTGATGTACACTCGCCTCTGCTGTGGTGGTGCCACTCGTTCCTCCTTGGGAGGTGGTACCACAAGGCGCTCTTCGAGCATCAGCTGCTCACCGGCAGGCCTTGCCGCGGAATGTTCCCACGGTAAGCCCCGCAAAAGGTCCCAATCACTTGGGTCCCAGCGGTCGGCTGAACTCAGCCGCCGGATTCCTGTGCCTCTTCGCACGCCATCGGCCGTCATCACCAAAATGGATCCTGTTCGGCCATGGTGTCCTACATAGCGTCCTTCTTTCAGGATGCGAACTCCCTCGCCTACTTCTCTAAAGTATAGGCGCTCACCAAAAGCTATGGCAGGTTTTCGCCATTGCTTTCCACATCTTCTGGCCTCAGGCGTTCTGCCATCTTGACCTTTCTTGTACCTGCTCAACAGGTCTCCCGCCTGCCTTGGCAGCCATGCCAATGCAGGATCATCATCTTTGAGCTCTTTGCCGAGCTTCTCTTCCAACGCGCTGCGGAGAACTCGTACTTGACACTTGATCTCCTTGCAGGCGTTCTCTGCCAGACCATTCGCCTGATGGTCTCCTACTGGCGACTCTTCCGAAACCCAGTCTATGCCGGTTTCTTTCGCCGCTGCCTCTTTCAAGGCTACCACTGATGGCTCGCCATCTGACTTGAGGACCACCTTGCGGTGCCCCAAGTTCTTCAAGAAGTTCGCCGCGAACTTCACCGCATACGGCGTCGCCCCCTTCGAGTCCACGAAGGTCGCCGCTAAGGACTGTGTCCTCTCATCCTTCACTACGAGGATCGGCTTCACTCGCTCGTCCTCCACACCGCCCCGTGACATGAACGTATAGTCCATTGCCACTGTGGGCACAAGGCTCTTGGCCTTCTCTTCCTCGGACCTCGTCCGATGTGGCTGTCCCACAGCCCGTCCAGCAATGCAATGCCGGCACCAACTTCGATACTGCACATGGCCTGTCGCCTCGTGCTCTTCGATCTCAACCGGAGTTGGGTCCTCCGGTGCTCTTATCTGGATGGGTTTCTCAACCTCATCAACTAATTCCAACTCATCATCCTCTTCTCGCCCCTCTGGACCAGGTCGGCCTGAATCCATAGAGGCATCTCCTCTTTCTCCTGTGGCGTTCAACTCTGCGATGCCACAGCATTCCTTTGTCGGTTTATACCCTGGCTTTCTCAAGTAGAAGTTGTACACTCCCTGCTCCTGATACACAGGGATCCAGCTCCGCTGCTCTGCAGCGTTCGCTTTCTCCAGGATCGCCTGGACAGCCTTTCCAACTTTGGACCCTTGCGGAATCAAGTTTCCGCCATTTGCATCAAGAACTGCAATCCTTCCAAAGCCTAAGCACTTGGATGCTGAAATCAATGGCTTGTGAACATCAGCCATTGAACCTTTCACACGGCATTTGTTGCCGCTCTCATCGAACCCTTCAAAGGTTCCAATGCCCTGACTGGGCACCAACTCTCCTGATGCAGTCTTGAATACAACTCCGTTGCCTTCACTGACAACCACTCGATCCTCCCAGCCATTCGGGATGGCTGTCTGGGCTGCTCCAGTGTCCAGGTTAAACTTCATCCATTCTTCGGCGGATGAGGTATCCGCCATTCCAATTCCACTCAAGTCTGCCATGAGCATTCCGACATCAGCCTCCGGAGCTGGCTCAACGCCATCATCCGGATCGTCCATCTCTTCCATACTTCCTGCGGCTTTACCTTTGCCGCTTCTTCCACCTTTGCCTTTGTTGCCTTTGCCACCTTTACCACTCTTATCTCCTTTGCCTGAACCTGACCACTTATCGCCTTTTCCATCCGGCCGTTTCTTGCTCCAGCAATCGGCCGCTCGGTGTCCTTTCTTACCGCAATTGTAGCAGGTAATATCTTGAGCCGGGTTTGAGCCTTTACTTGAGCCCCCTTTGCTTGAGCCTTTCTTTCCATCACCTTTGGCCCGCTTGCCTTTTCCTTTGCCTTTCCCTTTTACCAGGCTTGCGATCCATTGTCCGATCGAATCGACGTCCATGGGTCGAGGTCCTTGATAACTCGAACTCGATGAACCTGGTTTTGGAACAGATGACTTTGATGTGAGGGATGTTTCAATGACAAGTTCAATCTCCTGTTTGATCAACGAGTAAGTTGTCAATCTACTCTTGTTCAACAAAAGATGCTTTTCCAAATCTGGGGGTACCAGCATCTCCAATGAAGCGGACTTGATATCGTCCGATAGGGTTTCCCTGATCCCTGCGGCACTCCTCCGAGACTCGTACCGCCTGATGAGCTCTTCGAGCTGTTCGATCGCTGGCCTCACCGCGGCCCATGTCTTGACTCTCTCCGGTTGGAGAATCGCTCGAAGTATATTTTGCGTTTCCGTCCCGAGGTTCGGGGATCCCAACGGCGGTGAACTCGCCGATATGCTTCAAACCCATTTGAAGCTCCTACCATCAAATCCTCTGTTTCACCTGAGGTCAGGGTCAGGAGGACGCGATGGATCTGATCAGCCTTATCCTCGAGGTCACCGATATCAGTAACGGTGCCAGACCCAAACTCTTCTTCTATTTTAGTCATCTCAATCGCGTCTTCCTGTTCCAAAATGTACTCTAGGATTTCAATGAACTCTCTCCCAAAAGTAGTTATGAACAGGTTGTCGATGCTCCTGGCCCATTTTCGGAAATCCCCTTCAACATTCCCAAAACTCTCGGGGCGTCCCAAACCTTTGGTGTCCATAAGGATTTGGGTCTTCCGCCTATCTTCTTTCTTCTCAAGGCTCTTAGCCAATTCTCCTACGGCTGAGGCTAGCATTGATACCCCGCCTTGAGACTCCCTCAACACTTGATTCTCTTGCTCCAAGCTCGTTTGGTTCTGTTGGAGTTGAAGTACCATTTCACTCAGTTGTTGGATCTGTTGTTCCATGGTTTCCTACCCTCAACCCCTGCTGCTGCTGCCGCTCACTCCTTTTCCAGCGGCAGTCGCGGGCGGTTCGCCCGGTCAAGGATCGGAAGGTTTTGGCACTCCACGGACTTCAACAGTAGTCCGTGTGAGTTCTTCCGGGCGACGACCCACAGTTGTGGCCTTCGCTTCAGCCGCTACTTTTGGTGCGGCGGATGGTTTGGCCTTTCCTTTTGGTCCGGCCTTTGATTTGGCCTTCGCTTTCGGCCCAGGTGTCAGGCTCAATGCTGGCGCCGCTTTGGACTTGGCGCTCGATCCAAGAACGGCAGGTCCCTTAAGTCCTCGCCGTTTGATGTAGTCCTTCACCACCGGCAGCTGTGCCTGCCGCCGTTCGTCACAAGAACTACAGGCCTCATTGGATCCTCTTTTTCCTTGTTCGTTGGGGGTCTTCCACAATTCGCGAATGGCGGCCAATGCAACGGTGCCCTTGAGATTCCGTTGCTCGCAAAGTTCGTCGGCCGCAAACTTTCGCACTTGGAACGGGCTCTCTAATTTCCAATTTTCTCTGGGCCCGTTCGTTGGCTAGGGCGACGATGCGGAGGTTCAACTCCAGTGCACGCCTGCAGACCGCCCGTCCCCGCTCGGTGTCGCGGGTTTGCGGTCGCTTAGCCGGCGGTGGCCCGTCCGGTGTTCGAGGCTGTCGAACCGGACTTGGATGGCTCACCGACTCTTCTTCTTCTTCGACCTCCTCCTCCTCGGCTGGATCAGCCGCTTCCGAGGTCTTCCTTTTCTTGGTCCGCTTCTCCTGATTGCGGACCCTCTGCTCTTCCCGCTCTTCTTTGATCTCTTGTGGAGTGCGCCCCTTTCTGAACTCTTTGATGCGCCTCCTCAGATCCTCTGTGATGACACCCTTCTTCTTCTGCAGCCTGACCAGGTCCTTGAGCCTCCGGTACTGAAGCGAAGTCTTGCTTCGAAGTCGAAATCCGGATTGTGGCTCTGGATGCTTCTTGACCTGTCCCCAAATGTTCTTCTTCACCCTCCAAGGTGCCTTGGGATCAACTTTGGCTGGGGTATATTTGGCGTGAATGCCACGAACCTCCCAACCTGTTTTGACACCTTCTGGGATGTGATGAAGTCGGCGATCACTCGGCCAGACGATGGCTGTGCGGCTGGATCAGCCGCTTCAGCCTCTGGCTCTACTGTGGGGTCTTGTTCAGGCTTCTCTTCTTCTCCTCCTTCTGTCTCTTTTGTGGTCTCTTCTTCTTCCTTTGTTTCCGCGGTTCCTTCAACCGCTGATGTTGTTTCGGCAGTTTCTACAACCGCCGGAGTGGTGTTTGCGGCTGGTTCCGCCGCTGATGTGGCTGGCAAAGGCTCCTCCTCCTTTTCTTCCTTTCCACTCGGGGCGGCCGAAGCGGCCGCTCCCGGGATTTCCTGATCCTCCTCCTCGGAGGTCTCTACCTTACTATGTCTCTCCTCCTTGATGCGCAGCGCTTGGTCCCTTTCGCTTTCACCGGGCTCACGCGCTACCATGAAAACAAAGTGTCGACGTTACGGAACGCCTTTTTACCTTGAGCCAAAAAACACGTCATGAGTCACGTGTCTGCAGTACCCTAGCGGAGTATATATGGGCTGTACATACAAACAGGATCTAATTTCTACATATATTTTATATAGTGCCTCGTTTCACTTGTACTGAACAGCCGAACCGCTGTGCATACTGCACCAGAATGGAGTCATACGAGGCCCTGACAAAGGCCGCATGAATCGAATGGTAAGGTTGTATTGCATTGGTTCGACGGAGATCGATCAATTCCGCCTCCAGCAAGTCAGTTTCTGCCAACTGAGACTGCTTCCCCACGGATCCATTTCGTGGGACCTGCTCCTTCGTTGCAAAGGCGATCGTGTTCGATCTAATGTGCGCTCAGCGGCGAATATTATCCGCCAAGATCTCCGCCATCTCCTCGAAGCTGTAGCCCTGCAAGGTCCCGCGGCTGAAGAAGAACAACATATCTTGTCTAACACCGGTTCATATGTTAAAGTGACTCGGTGGAATCCCAATGATATGAGGACAGGGAGGAGAGTTTCCATGCACTTCTGCCTTTGGGTTTATATATATATACCGTATTCTTTGCAACACGTACTGATCTACCGCTTGGCCTTCCGAATCTACCGCTTGGCCTTCAACATGCAGAAGTCGTCCATGTCCCAACCACCTGTGGCACCCATGCTTCGCTGAACAGCAACTGAACAGCAGAGTCATAGTCCGAAACATCACATCAAAACCACCCCATCGCCGGTGTAGCCATCCCTTGAGTGACCTGCCATGATGTATATATATATATAATATATGAAAACATGGACAGAATCCCAAAGAATCAACGTTACTTAACGATTGATTTATTTGTACCACACGACATATCCTGCAATTTGTGTCTTCCATACAAAACAGGATCGAAGAGTGGTGCAGAACTTGTTCCAGTAGACCATGACACCCCCAACAACCAACATTCCCCCGGTCTGGTAGAGGAACATAGTCCTAGTTGGAAGCCCCGAGAGGGACTGCTGCTGCTGCATGAGAGAGCCCTGCCTGAGGCCGATGCTGGAGGGCTATGGCACTTTCGCGGCCGCCAAAGTGGGGCATTGTCACACACTTACCTGCAGGGGCAAATTGGTGAACCAAGAACGAGTGAAAACCAAACAACGCAAGAACGAGAGCCACATAAACCAAACTGACAAAACAACAAGCCACTACCACAACTACGAATGCCAGCCCCACCAACAACACAGAGAAAACCAGGAAGTGTGTGGAGTAGTCCCCAGTGTGTGGCGTATGCTAGAAGAAACTGATATGGTTCATTATGCGTATTATGGCCTATTTTGTGGTTAGCCTCCAAGTTGTCTTCCTTCTGGGCCTTCTTTGGCCTTCTTACATCGACCAAACACGTAGCCACTCCCAAAGAATAGCATGAATAGCATTGTGGCTTTTGCATTCTACCACTTACACCTGCAGGTAGTAGTTGGAGCCAACCTGGTCGACAGTCCACATCTGCCAAACCAGTCTTCATGATCTTCCCTTGCATTACAACCAGCCATAACTTGCATCTGCTAGCATGCTTGCAACAAAAGCAGCCCACTTGTGGCTTTGGAAAATGAGGACTTTTCCAGTGGGAGGCTCAAAGAGCTGTTTGAAAGGACGCCTCTCTCTGTAAACATACCCTCCTAAGGTTAAGCGGTTCAGCACAAACTCGATCACCAACAGGTGAGGTTCACGAAAAAACATGTCTCAAAACGGTGAAGGTAGGGCCAATGTTCAAAACAGGGACCTTCTGCCAAGGCTTTGACCCCAAAGCTAGTGGTAACATGTCGACAATCATTTACAGACTGCTAAGTAGGATGAAAAACGCTTGCGACATATGGCCCAAACCTTTTCAAAGCTACACTGGTATTTGTCCTTCAATCGATCCACTTGTGCACGCCAAACAGAAGCATCATCTGGCCAGCCATGCCTCGGATACACATGTCAAAGCAGTTGAATCAAGCTCTCAAGGGATGCCCAACATTCTACCCAAAAACACAGCACGCATAGAACAATGGCAAGGCTAACACAATAGTGTACGCAAACCAGCGGTGTATCTATCTATATATTGTTTTGAACGGAATTGCTGCCAACTGCAAAAGTGCTCATAGCTCGTTGAGGTGGCAACTTTTTCGTTTGATGTGGCTGGCGCAGCTTCCTTCGCAACAACAGCAGGTATTGTGCAAGTGGTGTTTGTTGCTTTGATGTGATTTCCATTATATAGTTTCAGCCGCACAACACAAACAACACTATACAAGTGCAAACAACCCTTTCAATTGTGGTATATGTGAGACTTTGTAAGCAAGAAGCAACTAGACCCTCTCCAGTTATGATGTTCACAATGGTCAAAATGGTTGGCAGTTAACACGTTCCCACCAATGTATGCCATATAAATGGTGGCATAATCTGTTGATAGAATCTGGCAAAACAACACTTATAAACACGGGGTTTCAAAGGGATGGTTTGTCGAGCCAACAAAACGAGTGCAACATCACAAACTCTGCCTGGACCTTTTTAGAAGCTGCCCTAGCTTCTGACCAAATCAAGACCATCCAACCAAGGTCTTCTTTCTGAACCCTGCCCGCTGGTGCAACCACTGTACACAAAAAAGAGCACCTCCCCCTCACCGCAGGAGCTGATGGACAAGCGCGGCGCCTGGGTCACGCCCAGTCTAGGATTGATTTGGAACTTTGGAACCAGATTTTGGCTTCCAAATTGATATGGCATGGTAGCCCAGAACAACTGCTGCACACAGTTGTGCCTTGAATTTCCCACAAACTTGCCTAAAGGCACTCACCATGTCTTCAGGAATTTCAGACTTTGCAGGTTGCATGGATCTGTTTAGAGGACATGGCACCATCCGCATCTGGATCGACACGATCTTGAAAGAATCTTTGGACATGAGGCACAGAGACTGGATCCGTTCCAGAATTCCATTTTGCTGTATCTTCAATGAGTACAAAGTTACAGTATATCTATTCAAGTCCTTGCTGTACTGTTAAGAAAGCAGCTTTGAATCCTGATTGCCTTCAATGCCTGGATTGAATTTTCTGCTTTACTTGTACATAGGATTTAGAGTAGAATATAAAGGGGAAATCAAAGGAAATCAGAAGGACGCCCAAGAACCCCCAAAGAAATTGGAAAATTGAGTCCAAAAGGAAAACGGACCAAGCACCAAGTAGAATGAATAGGATCCTACATAAAGGAAATTGACATTAAAAAAGGGAATTGCAGTAGAAGGAATCTGAAGAAATCTCAAGGAAATCCTCTGGGTACGAAGGATTTATTACCAACAGTCAGCATAACAAGGTCCGTGCGGAAAGATTGAATCCAAACACACGTCATGGTCCGTGTGCTTTTTTCGCCACTCAGCTCGGAGAAGAAGATACAGGAAAACCATAGACCGCTCAGCGACGAAGTTGACCGCTGTATTTTACAACTGCTTTGAGTCGCCTCAAGTGCGAAGTATGTGGGATGATGTGGGGAAGCTGAACAGAAAAACAACTGACTGATGTGAGAAGGTAGCAGGTCAAACCATCACATCTACACTGAAGAACATGGCTGCAACCAAGGCCAGTAACCCGCTTCTCAACGAATCGATCTATATATATAATAATAATAATAATGCTGTTCTTTCTCTTTTGGAGGGTTCGAGGTGTGACCAGCCCTGGCTCTATGCTCAAACCAATGCAGTTCGTGCAGTCTACCCCTTCGAGTTTCTTATGTGAGACTCCGAGCAAACTAGAATTTAAGAGACCACAGTCACAGTTGTCAAACTTCTGCCTTACACATCTATACTTAGGAAAATGCATACACAACCCAAGGAAGGCAGTATGATCGATCTATCTCTTGGGGATTGCTACATGGATGCCTCTTAGTAATTACCTTGATCTTCTTGCCAGCCGTGCCAACCCTTCCCCTTGGAACGCGCCATGCTTCTTCCGCCTCAAAGACACTTCTCACGGAGCTGGTGCTTCTCGCGGCCATCCCCCGACGAGCGAGCAGGGCGCGCCGCCAGCCTTGGAGCAGGTTGGGGAAAGAATGGTGGGTCTTCCAGTAGTCTTCCACCATGAAATCCAATCGAAAGATTACAAGTAGTGAGTTTCCCCAGGTGTTGGATTTAGCAGCCGAAGAGTGATCTGGAAAGGTTTGTGATGTTTGTGCCGGGCCCTAGTTCCTGGAAGTAGAGTAGAACATGGTATAGACTGCTATAGACCACACTTTCTGATCATAGATAAGCGACTACAGTCTTACAACTGTTTGAATCCATGGAAGCTTTTTCATCCAGTTTCTTCTCTACATAAGACGACTCAACAATTGATGACATTTCCACCTAAGGGATCCACGCAGGACCGGCCTAGGCCTTAAGGCTTAGGGCATACATACTCTGGGCGTTCAGTCTTCGGAGCTGACTGTGTTACCAGCATGATGCGTGATGTTTTTCTTTGGGAGAAATGCCACATTTAGAACAGCAGCTTGAGGCTTGAACAGATGGTCCAGCAAATTTGCCACAACTGATTGAAGCAACCTTCCTGCAGATCATCCCTCTGGATTCTGCTCGACCAAGTCATAGGGCTTAAAGCATTGTCTGTTGAGGTTGAGCATTTCCAGGTTTACTAGTTTACGGATGTTTACGGTTTACCTGACAGATCATACAGGCGCATTCCGCATTCCACATGTTCAGAATATACGAGTGTTCAAACTCGACCAGTTAGGTCTCTACGGGGCCACCCCGACCCCAAACCATGCGGCCGCCTCCTTTTCCGGCCAACCTGAGCCTCGTGAGGGTGCCTGCGGACGTCCAACCTGTACTGCCGATCCGAATGGTGACACTGCTTTCAAACTCCCATAATCTTCTATACAAAAGTACAAGCAACTATAGATCTTCCGGATCCTGTGCTGCAGTGCTCTCTTGCTCACACCAAACGTCATAACTCAGCAGTGGAATGAGAGGAAACTATTTCTTCCTCTCCCGTGTCTCTGATGAGCCCGGGTAGCAACTTGACTCGGCCTTCTCATCAAAGCCTGCCGCCTTCAGGAACAATGCCAAATCCTCAAAGCGTCCTCCGCGGTTCTGGCCGTGAGCGGCAACCCAACGGAGGTATGACACATGCTTTGAGCTCTGCATCAGCTCATTGTAAGACAGCTTCTCCGATGCTACCTTGGGTAAAGCACAAATTGTGCTTCCCCAATCTTGTAGGTCTGTGACTCCCGGTGGTAAGCTCACAGTCGCACTTGTCTTCTGGATTCCCGGAGCTACCGGCATCTGGTCCAACACCTTCTTGGGCATCACTCGCTCACACATGACTGTTTTGCCACCTTCTTCGTTGTAGGTGACCGGTTCCCAGTCGTCTGCCTCTGCTTGAGCATGGTCACGATGCCGCTTCACGGAATCGTTCATTGAGCCGCCGGTCTTGGTGTTCACACCGAAGGCGCTTGCTCGGGCCATGACTTCTCTGGCAGCAGCGAGCTCGTCAGGACTCACCGGCTCTGCACGGTTGGATGCCATCTTCCAACACAACTCAAAGCAACTGCTCGACACGGATTCTCTGCTGAAAACTGAAAAAGGGGCTCACCGGAAGCGAAAATGCACACGGAAACAAGCATTGAACACAGTGCAACAAACACTTGCTTGATTACCCCGTGAATCTGCAAATGATCTTATGTCACATCAAGTTCAACAAGTTGGCTAGGTTCACAGCGCTCATACACGAACTGAAACCCTCGGCTCGAAAAACTGCACAAAGATTTAATTGGTTACCTCTGGCAAAAAGATGTGAATGCAAAAACTTGACACAATGTCCCTTCACATTGATTTCAAGACGAAACAAACACAGCTTAGAGGTTATCTATCTCCCTCTGGCTCGACTTTGGCTTATGTGGCTCTGACCTTTGAAGGGCAACTCTTCTTCGTCGTTCTTTCTCTTCTCTTCGTCGGTCCATCACAATCTGTTCGTCCGCCAGTTGATAGCGGGAACTCCGAAGAATTGAGCGAAGGAGGTCGATCGGCTCTGCCCGATCTTTGGTCAAAGCGTCTGCAGCCATGTATGTGGTGGGACACCATCTAGGCTCTAGCTTAGTTCTCTGTATTGACTGCCGGATGATTGCGATGTCTATTGCTGTTCTCTTATCATCTAGGATGCCTCCACTGCCTAGGGACGTGAGATGATCGTATAAGGACCTGCAATCGGTCAAACCGATCGGAGACCTACAAAGGAGGACTTCTTCGGCATCTTCTAGTAGGAACTGTCCATCCAAGCATTCTGCAAGCATGAGCATCATCCACTCACACACACCTGACGCCGTGGAGAAAGCTTGTGCCTCTCCCGACATGGTCGAGGACACTACCCTCGGCAACCTGTATGACTTCCAAGCGAAGCAATGGACTGGAACATCAGATCCTGATCTCATATTGTCTGATGTGAAAGCAACCAGCCATCCTCCCTGTGTTCGCAGCTCGGAGCTGTTGGCAAAAGCGGCATCAGACCAAAAACACAAGGTTAACTCGTTGAGTGGGATGTAGGGTACCTGAATTCTCAAATCCGATTGCTGCCGCGCCCTTCGAACTGCTTGATTCGCTTGCAACAGGTCCTGAACAGTCGGATTCGGAAAGCACTGTTGGCTAATCGATGTTTGCACTGCCAGGTCAGGTCTGGATTGAGTACTTAGCCAGCTAAGTGCTCCGTTGACTGCTCTCAAAGCCGAGACTTCTTGTGGGTTTGCTGGAAGCCAAGGTTTCTTAATCCTATCTTTTGAGACCTTGATTGGGGTGATATGCTCAGCATACTCCTTTTGTTGAAAGCTGATCTCCAGAGTATTCATATCTTGAGTATATATTGTTCTCAAGAACTCACCTGTGCCTGACCTCCACTTGCGGAACGGAAAACGTGAACGTAAATGCTCGATGGCTTTGCTGTACATGTCTCCCGAACCTCCTGTGATCGTGTCATCCACATGTGCCCCCAAAATCCCCTCAAGTTGATTTCTTTCGTTGTAGCGAAGATAGAGGCAATTATCGAACTTGCTACGAATGAAACCTGCTTCCAAAGCCACATGGTTGAACTCACAGTACCACTCATGTGGAGCGTCATTTGCACCATAAATGTTTCCCAACACCTGGACCAAGGAACCAGCTTCAACCCCAGGCACTCCACCCGGTGGCAACTCTGCAAAAACTTGGATTCAGCAAGGCCTTCTGGCGAACATCTGCCTCCAGGAATGCGCCTTTTATGTCTCCTAGAAACATCTTCCACTGGTTACTCACTAGCATCTGAAGGATCAGACTCCTCCCAAACTGGGAAAGTGTTGGGGAGTGGCACTTCCCTGCGAGAACCTTCGTGAACAAGTCTGGATCGTGATGACCCCTCAGGCACCAGCGACTCTTGATCTTGGAATGGCCATCTTCATGCTTTTCAACAATTACAAAACGGCTGGTCATGATTCGGTCAGGTCGGCTGGCGCGTATCCTCTTCGCTTCCCGCGGAGGAATGTCAACAAGAGCTTTCTTCTCGTCACGCAAGGTGGTCCATTCGATTGTCTTGGATGCATCAATTTTTTCTTGCAAATGAGCTGGGTGATTTGAGTGATGTAACTCCTTCTGTAACTTTTTCTGCAAGAAGCTTGCTATGAGCACCTCCACGCTTGCTGCCGGACCATCCTGAGCGACCAGTTCGGTCAAAAGACAGGAATTCTCTTCTTCTGTCCTCTGGCTCTTGTTCGACGCCGATGCACTGCCGTCCGGAGAGTGACTGCGTTTTGTTCCCTGATTTTCAATCAAGATGTCTCGAAGGTCTTCTACCTGAGTTTCAACCGGCCTAATTAGAAAGGTTGGTGGGTTCTTGACATGCTGTCGGACTCGAACAGGACCATATCCTGAACTTTGCCAATATGGCTCGGCGACCGGTCGACTGTATGGTTCTCCTACGTCATGTCTTGATGATTCTGCTGGCTTTGATGGTTCGGATGTCTCACTCTCACGAACTTGTTCTGGCTCTTGATCGACGGAGTCAGCTCTCGGCACGCCAGTCTCAGCAGGAACCTGAACTGGGATTGCTCTTCTGGGTCTCAATCGAAATTGGCTTTCACCTTTCCATGGTTCACTACCCCAAACCGCTTCTTTGGATTGTTGATCTGACAAGGGTTGATGTACAATGCACTCCTTCGTGTCGGAACGAATTGTCTTTCTCCAGTTGTCGAACCACATCCCTTCTATTGCGGGGTCGTCAGCAGCGGGCCAAAACAACTTGGTTCGAGGTTGGCGGTGGATTCGACACATGTAATCCCCTTTCTTCAACCAGAAATCTTCTGCCTCAGACATTGGAGTACGGGCTTGTTCAGGAGTGGGCGTGTCAGTCAGGTCGGTGAACTGAGACCCAATTGCCTTCCGATCAGGATCATTGAGCAATGACGACAAACCGAGCATTTCTCGACCGTCGGCCTGAGCAAGAATACGTTCGTCTTCACTGGCATGTCTCAAATGTTCCGGGGCAACCTTGAAGATATTTCTCCGGTGAAAGATCAAGAAGTTGCGACCTATTTTTCCCATCACGATGGCAACCCCGTACCAGCGACCTCCTACTAACCGGATCCCCTTCTGGTACTTCTGTGTCCTCCAGTAAGCAACAAAATCGCCGGGAAGGAAAATCTCGTTCAGCCCTGGGTCGAGCGTTCAATGCATTTCTGAGACATGCATCGTCTTGAGACAGCACCAATGCAGTACGAGCTTGTGCACGAATTGCTCTGGCTCGCTCAGCACCTTCATCGTGCAAGGGTGTCGTTGCTGCAACTGGGCATGGCCACTCTTGAAGCAAATCTCCTGCTATTCGAGGATTCCTACCAAACACGAGCTGGCATGGTGACAGACCCTTCTGATTTAGCATTTCATTCTTTGCATTGCAGGTTTGAATAACACACTGCTCGTACTCTGCTCGATCTTTAGGCTGTACTTGGTCAAGAACTTTTTGCAAGATCACTTCAAACAGGTGTCCATGCTTCTCTACTTTGCCCAATTGGTTATGGGCTTCTGCTGCAATTGTCGAGACTCTAGTGCCATCTTGTTCAAGGCGATCGAACACCTCTCCTGCCGTGTTTGTCTTAGCAGGATCAACTATCACCTCCAATGGTGCTCCAGCCCAACGTTGCCAAGTGTCAAGAAACAACTTCTTTAACAATTCTGAGGTCTCTTGTTCAAACAACGGAACAACTACCTGAAAGCTCGTGGCATAGTCAACAATGTTCATGCATTTGACCTGCTGGTTCACTTTCCAGCCTGGCAACAGTTTGGTGTCCCAGCCTATCTTGTGATTGAAATCACTGACATGTTCTGGACTTGCTGGAAGGCATGGTGTTGGTCGCTGTCTTTGTTGGCAAATCTCGCACTGACTTTCCATGGTTTCCGCTGCCTTGATTGCAAGTTCGTTCGCCCCTGCATTCTTCAAAATTCTAAGAAGAGAACGAGTGGAGGGATGACCTAGGTTATTATGCAACTTCTTCACCAACTGCTCAACCTGTTTGGCATCGGAAACCGCACAAACCTCATGAACGGTGAATTTGATCCCCTCACAGTCACTTGCTGGGTCCTGCACACATGAAAAATGGCACAGGTGAGGGCGAATGCATTGCAACCAGGTTTGAACAAACGTTGGAGTGTACTCTGCAGCCCTAGCACTACGGTTGACCCCATCTGAAGTATGTCCCGCTAACAACTGATGACTGACGTGTCCTGGGCACTCTAAGGCGAACTGAGCCATGTCGCCGTGTGACACCGCCAGACCCGTAGGCTTCAAAATAGGTTGTCCGTTCTCTGCATCCTGGAGTTGATATGCACACATGTTTGTCTTATGCAAAGTCAACTGTCCGCTGTTGAGCAGCTTCTGTATTGGAGGATACTTCCACAAATCGCTCGACCATGGATGTTCCAACAAAACACGACCACCTCGCTTCAGCTGTTTGCGAATCTGCTGGGCACAAAAATCGGCTTGTGCTCTTGCCTGTCTCTGATTCTGCAGCTGTTGGATAACAGGCAGTTTGTGTTTGTTGAGTCGATACCAGCCACCCCAGTGCCTGCACTCTGGGCTGCACACCAGGAGTTCCGGCCTCGTCTCATCCAGTTGTAGGTCAACGGTCTTCTGTGTCTTGCTGTCTGTGAGATCCCAGCCCTGCTTGATATCAAAAGCCAGGCCATGTTCCCCCTTCTTCTCCAACATTGCTGTGAAACGCGGAGGTGAAAACAACTCGGCCACAGCAACGGTACTCTGCTCTTTGTTCCAAGCCTCCTGGTGTGCCAGAAGACAGCGTTCTTCCCGCTTTGTGAGCAGCCGTTCATGTCCTTCCAGACACTCAGATGTCCGGTCTTCTTTTTCTGGGTCTTCAGGAGGCTGTTCCTCACAGAGTAGGGCTTCTGCGCCATCCATGACATTGAGAATGTACTGGCCAGCGGAATTCTTCTGCAGAGGTTGTGCTGCTGAGCCATCAATTGAGATTGTCTCTGCCTGAAAGTCCAGCACTGCACGCAAACTCTTCATCGTGTTGCGACTCAGGAGCAATGGAGCCTCACCCTTAATGATACAACAGTCAATGCGACCGGCTCGTCCATGGATTGAGACAGGCATGGAAACAATGCGCTCTGAAAGCTCCTCCTGTCCATTCCCGAACCGGAACAGATTCTGTTGTGCCCTGGTGATGGGCGCTTGGCGATTCTGCTCATGATACAGCCGCAGAAACTGATTCAACGTTTCCTGACCAATCAATGTACGACTGCATCCAGAGTCAATGATGCCATAGCCAGGAGATGAGACCAGGAAGGCCTCTTCGACCATTGCAGCACCGTTCACTTTCTCACGCTCCGATCTGTAGCTGCTGGCTGAACTGGCTGTTCGTTGGGGGCAATTCCTTGCCCAGTGACCGATTTGGCCACAAGCCCTGCACCGTGACTTCTTTTGAAGGTCGGTGATCTCTTTGGAAAACTGCTTCTTTGCGGAGTTGGCTTGACCAAAACGTCTTGACTTCTGCAGCTTTGCGATTTCCGACCTTCTCTCCCGCCACGTAGCGGCCAGCACCTCTGCGATCTCTTCCTCATCGAAGATCTCTTGAGTGGCATTGGGCTCTTGTACGCCGTATTCGGCTAGGAAGGCTTCAATGTCGTCGAAGGACACTGCATCTTGTCCCTCGTCGGTCGACAACTGGCTTGTCTCTGCCTCCAACTCTTCGACCTCGGGCTGCTGCACCAACAATGCTGAGGATGTTCGAGCTTTGCGACTTGCTTTGAACTCAGGAAAACAGCTCCTCATGGCTGCTGCCACCGTCTCGAACTTCATCTCGCCATTTGTCTTGGCAGTCACTATAGCCCTCTGGTCGGAGGAAAGACCTGAGGAGTTCAAGCAGATCCATCCTCTGGCCTCAGTTGGAAAGTCTACGGAGACCTTGCGTCGGCACTTTGCAAAGGTCTCCTGAACCCTTGACGTCCAAGCAGCGACAGTTTCACCGTCTCGTGCAGACAACTCGAACACCTCTTTCAAGCACTCTGCCATCCAGTCGTGGGATAGGCGATCCGGGAATCGCTCTTCCAACGCAGCCCAAATGTGTCGATCGCCGTTCTCTTCCTTCAGCTTCTCGAGCGTCAGGTGCTCCACTGCCTCTAGGGCAATGCCGTCCAGCAAACAAAACACAAAAGGGCCTCTGTGACTCGCAGACATGTCCTTGGTCGAGGCCATACGAGCTTCTGCCCATAGTCGCCATCGTCTGAATTCACGAGGATCCAGACTATCGCCGCTAAACCGTCTGTGGTTTCCACCCTGGTTCTCGCTAGCCATGGCGTTGTGACACTGCTTTCGTGATCCAATCCGTCCTCGGATTGCACACACAAAAAGAAAATCTACCCGGACGCCCCCCGTCAGCGGGGGGCTCCGCTACCAATGTTCAAACTCGACCAGTTAGGTCTCTACGGGGCCACCCCGACCCCAAACCATGCGGCCGCCTCCTTTTCCGGCCAACCTGAGCCTCGTGAGGGTGCCTGCGGACGTCCAACCTGTACTGCCGATCCGAATGGTGACACTGCTTTCAAACGAGTATCTGAGGAGAAGGCAAGAAGAAAAACAGCCCATACCAACCTGTAAAGGAAAATTAAATGAGATTATGATTCTACTCTGAAACTCGATAGATCTACTCTGAGAATCGAAGAATCGCTACTAGGTTGGAGGCCATCGCTAGTAACAGTAGGTTGGAGGCCATTGCCACTCGGTTGGAGGCCATGCTACTAGGTTGGAGGCCATTGCTATTAGGTTGAAGTCTTCTTCGCCAATTCTGTCGTTCCCATTTCGTCGGGGTTGACCACTATCGACCACCATTGACCACGATGCCCAACCCTGTTTGTTGTTGCTTGGTCGCTCAGCGCAGAAGTCGTCCCAACAAATTCTGCGGAACCGCACAGCAAAGCTCCGATGGCGGAAGGAACTCGCATTCGAGGGCTCTTTTGAGCTTCTGTAGGGCGTTTTTAGGTCTTGGCTTTGAGGGTTGGGCAGTCCCATCCCATGAAATCTTCTGGCATGTTCTCAACGTTTCTTTCGAAGAGGCGGCAAGATTTCAACAACCACACAAAAGGCTATGCTCCCATGGTTGATGCTGCCATAATCCGATGAGGCATTACAACTGGCATTACATATTTAATCATATTTCACTTACCTTTCCCATGTTCCGTTGTTTCAGGATGACCATCCAGTGCTCTTCCCGCAACTCGACGTGTCGCGATCACTGAGAGAGCTGAGTGTTGAGAGCTGCAGCGGGACGGCTGTAGCGTTGAGGGACATCCAGGGACGGTTGTGTGGATGACTGGTGACAGGACACTGAGACTAAAGCGAGGAAGCCATCCCTACCATGCCGGTCTCCCTGGGTGCATGACAAAGACCATCCCTACATATCCCTACCATCCCTACATTCACATGGGTTGTTTCATTCATAGGGATAAAGGTTGCTCCATTCTACCCCAACCCTGCAACTGGAAACTGGAGAATTATGATGGGCAAAGCCAGGACCTTGACTGTGCTTGAAATGAACTAAAACTGCAAACAATAAAATGCTTTGAGGGATGGAAGCAGCCAATGCACCTTGGGTACCAAATGCGAATCAACGGTTGCCTTGGACATACTGCTGTAAATATGCTATAGATCAAGCCATTTACAAGTAAGTTGGTGAAACCCACTGGTGGAGGCGTGCCATACTTTGTCACGCAAGGTCATGATACCATCTCTGATGCCTCCCCCACAAAACAAGCGCAACCTGCACTGCCTGGCTCTTTTCCCGCGTGAATCTTTGCACTCGGATAGCCACAACCGGCATCAACCTATGTTGGAGAGTTGCAGGGCAAGCCTTGAAACCAACTGAAGGTCATCCCTTTGCTGTGCGTGTCATGGGCACAGTGGATGATCACGGATCACACGGATGATCTAGGTGAATGCAATGGGAAGCGATCTGTTCCAACTGAACACTAGTTGGGGTAAACCCGGGGCAAACTCCAGTTCTTTGCGTTGTTGTGTTGGATTTCTAGGCTGGCCAACAATCACCATGTCTTCCCCTTCCAAAGCAGGTTGAAACCATACTGCCAGTCTGTCTGCATCTCAGTCCAACTGCCAACAAGTAACAAGGGATCGATGATTTTAGGATCCGTTTTCACTGTTTACCTTCCGTAATTACTGATAAAGGAATACGACTTACTACGAGCCGGCTCCCATCTAGGGAGCTTCTACCAAGAGTGTTTGGACACCATCGTTTCACTCGAATCTGAGTAGAAGGACTCCGATTGTGTCAGGGAACAACCCCGACTTTGAAGTTGCCGCGAAAATTCAGAATACAACCCAACCCGACCACGTGCATAAAGAAGCATTCTTGGGTGAACACTACATGCCAGTGATCGTGTAAACTTGGATGACACGTTTTCTTTTTTGGTGTCGCTTCGGTGACCGCCTCGCTTGCCTCGCTAAATCCCCTAAAGCTTCCCCCTTTGCTGAGCTCTGCTCGGCTTTGCCGTCGGATCAAAGGAAGCGGGAGGGTCTCAGGTAGCTTCGCCGTCTTCGCACCCGAGGTGGGAGCCTCCGGAGCTGATTGCACAAGCGCAAACAAGTGGGCGACGAAGAAAACGCGCGATGGAACGGCAAAATGGGCCATGTGTAAAGGATATGTCATTGTTTAGAATTATTGTATGTTTCATATATAAACATATATAAACCTGTTTCATTCAAAGTTGGTGGGTGGGGGTGTGAATATGACACAAAACTTGAACAAAAGGGGTCAAAGTCATAGTCATAGTCCTTTAGAATGCTAGGGTCCACTGTGAGAATTGTGACCACGATGAGACTTACAGCAAATGACCAACTACTGTCCTAATTGTGTGTAATGTTGCTTTTTGGATCTTTTGAGACAGTCCAGTGACCAGTGCATGATTCTGTCTATTAGTGTATTAACAAATACTCTAACTGTAACTCCGTCCAGCAGGTTCAAGGCCATCTTCATCCAGGTTTGGCGTGTGCCATGTTCATACTATATACAAACAATTCATTGTTAAGACATACAACCCCCGCAAGGTTCTCGGCTCAAATACTCTGTCTGTGGCTTGCATGTCAGAAGGTGTTCATCTGAGTTCCTCCCTTTTCTGATCGTTACCGTGTCTTTGATCCCAGCTGCTGCCAAGTCACTGAACATGCGCTGAACGTGCCAAATCCACGACAGTCGCCTCACATGTTCCAGGGAAAAATGGGTGCACGGTAAAGAGTGCACGGCAAAGATTTTGTGGGAAAGCGCCCCCAGGTGCCAGGAACAAAAGGAACATTGTCTTATTAAAAAGGTTCATAAGGTTCACTAGCAGAGTAGCAAGTACAATGTTGAAATCATTAGGGCCTGTGTTTTATGTAATTGTCATTTGTTTTGGCTGGCATGAATTGGGGTCCTAAAAGAAACGCACAGTTTGAGGGAAGAACTGACTCTGACTGAAAGGCACAAACGCAAACACAAACACACATCTTTGATCTGTTTGAGCACTGTTGCAATCAAAGTACGGCCCAAACACTCAAGGACCTTCTGTTCCTCAGGGGTCGGACACTCATACAAATACAAAGTCCCGGTTTCGGTCGGTTCTTCGATTTGTCGGTCGCTTGGAGTGCCTAGGAGACCTCCAAACACAAAGCAGCTAAGCATAGGCTCTTGGAACATCTTGGACCAACATGTATTTCCGTATAAACATTCTAATATATTACATCAATACGCACCCAAAGCAACGTTCTGCAAGGGACTCCGGTGGATGCTAATACAAAATAGCGAGACAGGACGAGTCGGTGCTAGTTAGTTTTGATTGGAGAAAAGGCTTGAGGCTTACACTCCCGGTCTCCATAGTACCAGGGAAAACGCAGGCGCAAGCATTAAGCGCAGCAAGATTGTCACAAGATGTGGTGCAAAAGAGTTCTGACTCGACATGCAAAAGAAGCATCTCATTCAGACCTTCGGCAACTCAAACATACTCAAACTCCACAGCAGCAGCTTCTTCATCCCGAACAACACAAGCACCAGGGTCCCCACCAGGGCTGGTGGTATGCTCATCTCATCCTGAAAAGCTCGAACCCGAGGCTGTGAAGAGACAGGCTGGGACAAATTGGAGAGGCGCACCTCTCGTGACACCAACATCACTACTGTAGCTCAGTCAGTAGTCTGTGAATGCAAAGGTACACGATTCAAGAAACAAGGGGTCAAGGGATGTCAAGGGTGCATACTTGACCTAGGAAAAACCATCCGAGACACATGGACGAGAACAACACCATGCAATGTAACAAACAAAATGCAAACATCATTGCATCAACAATCCAACCAAACCAGTCTAGGATCAAGCAAAATAAGCGCCTCATACCGCATCCCTCATAAATGTCTTGGATACTTTTTCACACACACACACACACTCTAGTCCCTCTCTCTCTTCCTGGCTCCCTCTCTCCCTCACTCTCTCTCTCCAAATTGAGTTTCCGCGCAGGTCTCAAAGGTGGCTTCAAGAGCTCAATCGGAGGATACTCCTCAGCGTCGGTGGGTGCATCCTCCACGACGGCGCCGTCGTCGTTCACCACCACGAAGGGCAGCTTGCCTCGGAGCAGTGGACCAGGGATCGCATCGGAAAGTCGATGGGACCAGTGGAGGCTGCAAGACTCGTTGCTTTCTTCTGTTTGTTTGAAATAAAAGACTCTATATAGAAACCAGCACACCCCCTAACCTGAGCCTGAGGATACATGCTGGTCGCTGGGGTCGAATGGATCGTTGCGTTTGATGAAACATGAATCAACCTGGACCAGGAATTGAAAAATATGAACAAATAGAACACACACAGTGGCTTCATGGGAGAATGTCTGAGTTCCCTGTTTTTTCCTGCAAAAGCATGTAAAAGCCAACTCCGACTGCTCCGACTCCCCTCTTTGATTGCTCATAAAAGTCCATTCTGGAGCCATCCGACTCGTTCGTTGGACCGTTCCTCTTCAGAATGGCTCGTTCCGACTCGTTAACGTAGTAACAAGTGCAACACTACTATAGTAGCAAATAGCTACGTTCGTAGCTTCTTGCTACTATAGTAGTAATGCCCTTGTTACTAGTAGCGATGCACTGGTTACTAGTAGCAAACACTCAAACCCTGGCGCCAAAGTACATATGTATTTGCGCACGAATGGTATCCCTGGCACAGAATGGACTGTCAGTCAACCGCAGGTGTTCTCAACGGTTGAACGCGGAATGTCCATGATTGAATCCAAGGTACAATCCTCCTCGAACTTGAATCCAGATTGGATTGTCCCTGCAAGAGGGCGCGGATGGAACAAATCGGTGCAGGCGAGCAGTGCTAAGGCGATCCACAAAACAATATCACTGGGAGAAATACACCAAACTTGGAATGATCAAAGCTTGCATATCACATGGTGAAAGTGGAAGCTCTGGGCTGTAAAAGACGATGTTCCGATGTTCTGAAGGGTAAACGGCGGGGTGGTGAATTCCAGCAAACCATTGAACGTGCGCTGGAGCGCACATGGAGTGCAACATGGGCGGCGACCGGAAAAAAATCTTCGCTGACAAGTCATTGACCCGGCGGTGTCTCTGAGATCTACACATGTCCATGTCGCCTGTCATATGAGAAAACATGTCGCGCGTGCCTCCCGTGTTGAAGCCTTGGCAAGACAGGTGTGCGCGTTCGTTGCAAACAGCAGCCAGCCGCCCAAACTGAAGTTCTGACAAGAAATCCGATCTCAAATCCACTGACGAAGGCAGCTTGAAGCTAAGTGGTCAAGATAGGGATGCCAATCATTGATATGATCCAACGCAATGTCGTGCCTATTCTGAAACAAACTAAACACCCTGAGCCCTCAGCCATCGACATGCGAATCATTGGATGAGGTCTTCCACAACAGATTCTATATAATTGGACAAAGGAAACCATGAGGAATTTCAGAGCTTCCCTGGTGATCATTTGTAGCC